CTTGGCTTGAGATTCTTTTGAGTTGTAATGTTTCACCTGTCATATTTTATAGGTACAGTGGATTGTAAGCTAAAACCCCTAAACCATCCCTGCCACCAAGATTTACACATTTGGTGACCTCAAGGCATCTGTTTGCATGAGGGACTGAGGAATATTTAGGAGAATCATCATCTGAGGCATAAAAGCTTGGTCCAATAAACAAAGCCTTGGACAAGAGGAATGATGGTGTCTGTCACTTGGACTGCTTCCCCAGCCCAGCGCCAAGAGCTCATCATGACAGAGACAGAGGGGCCACAAGAACTAAAGAATGGCTTTCACTAAATACTCTGAAGCGACAAGATATAAAGAGCTCTGGTTTGATGCTCACATGACAAGATAATACATCATACGAAGGGAGAATAGGTGATGGGGCACCTCAACAACCCCTGCATATCAGCAGCACACCTGCAGGACAGCACAAGGCCAAGGAGATTAAGTAGAGTCAGGAAAGGAGTACACTTCTGATACCTGGCAGGAGGTACCAATGTGCAACTGCAGGGGCAGCAAACATCATAGGAAAAAAAGACAGGTGCCACATGGCAGTGGCTAGAATGCATTAGTTAGCTCACAAGACACATGCTTTGGGGACTCCAAGAATAAACTTGGGAGGGGGACATTTATGAGAGAGATAGAGGTCCTATATTCATAGGCAAGGGTAAAAGTCATGAAATTCTGATTACTCTCGTTATTAGTCATATTTTATTTTATATCTATCTTACTATCAAATCCATGCTATTTTCATGTGTGTTAATGTGTTAAATGAGATTATTTAGTTAATCAGAAAGCAATTATGAAGCATCTACTATGTATCTAATAGTATGCTAAGAATTTGAGACACACAGAAAAAAACATAACAGGGGGCATATGATCTTGCTAACATATGGAATAATTTGTGATGAATTCAACACAGGGTATAATTAAGGGGATAAAGGTGCCATACAGTCTATGATTGCTCTAAGAGTTTCAAGAAGTACTAGACAAAAATGGATCTGAAACATAAGGTACAGTGTCAGAAAAGGCAAGACTTGCACTGACCTTGAAAAATCAACAAAGCTTTTTTTCTGATAATAAATTAATATAGAATCATTATAAAGAATTTAGAAAAGACATTTTAAAATAAAGAATGTTTTAACTGCCCACAACTATTAGTAATATTAAAAGATAAAAAATAAAATGTTTTTACCTAGGAAAACAATATAAGTGAAAGTAGGGACAAAGTAATCTAATAGTACACATAAATAAACACAATCCCCAATAGAATGACTGTATGTAAATTTAATTCAGATAAATATTTCTAAGCAAAAGTCTTTGAAAAAAACCTTGTGCTACATCATAGTCCACATGGTGAAATTAATTTATCAAGAGCACCATGATTTCCTGGTGCTCTGACTCCTACCACATTCAACCACTGCCTTAGCTCAAACCCAGTACAGAAGGAATCTATTTTGGAATCATCTTCCGAATGTTCTTTCAAGTATTGCTGTACATTACCAGGCATCAAGAGGACACTCTACTACCTGTCAATGATGATGATGATTACACAGCTGCCTTCCTGAAACTGAAATGGAAATTCTGCAGAATGGATGAGCCATTACTAAGGCCCTCAGAAATCAATTCTCCAAATAGAAATATTTCACA